TAAATGATAGGACGGATCTTTAGTTAACAAAGATCTTCGGTCATCGAATGTGCTTTTCTAATTACAAATTTGCGATTTTTGATTGTTTTCTCGTGCGGTTTTGAGTAGTTAGTGTGTGAACGTGTGATAGTGAGTGTGGTAATAGTGAGTGAGTGTTAGGAATATGCCTAACCATACGTACAGTGCTCGTGAGTAGATACGTAAACATGGTTTACTGTTACGGGAGGGCACGTGGAAACGCATCTGACTGAAGTCGCATCGGTAAGTCTAAGTACCTAGCTCTAAACTTAAAGGACATACCTTTTTAATGTAGGAAGTGAATAATCTGGTAATTTTGTGTAGAAAATACTCCCGCCGTCGCGGTAGGTAGTGGCGGAAAGCGCTCCAATACACTCACACACACATAGGAAACAGCAAACTAATTTAAAACGAACTTTAACTTTAGTTAGTCAAAGAAAAATACCTATTTACACTACCAACTTTACGTATCCTTCAGTAGACTATCCAACACGATAAGCGAGCGATCCGCGTAGCTCGATGGGTGCCCGTGCCACAGTAAACGTATTGCATTATTGCGAGCCATAGTACAGTTGATGTTGCACGGAAAATATTCGCTAAAAATTCCAGTTTCGTTTGTAATTTATTTTTTGGTGGATAATGCGTTTATGTAAGTCATAATATATCACCTAAATAAATATGGCAAGTATTGAAATCAACACCCGTATATGGCGTTCAGCAAAAAATTGAAGAAGGATCTGGACTAATAGAAAATCAGTCACTAAATATGAGCCGAAAATACTCGACTCAAAAACCTGTAAGTTTTATATCACCAGGTTGGTCCTTCGAGCCGGATTTTATCAACATCGTGTAACAAGAGATGCAGCAGTGAAAGTGTGCCTGTGTGCCAATGGACCAGTAGAACCAGCCGACGCGACATAGCAAGGGTTCAAAGATTGAGCAGTAAACACTTTTTATCTCTCTATTTATCTAATAGACCTACCTGCGTGCCAATAGACCAGTAGAACCAGCCGACGTAGCTGGGGTGCCGGCAGATGGCGTACACGCCGTGCGTCACGAGCTGGTGGTCCGGCCGCTTCACGTATTGCACCTGCAGGAAGAGGGAACATAGATAGACATTAGACCAGCGGTTCCCGAATGGTGGTCCGCGGAACCCTGGGGTTCCGTGGAAAGGCCGCAAGGGTTCCGTAAAAAATATTATCCCACGTTTCGTGACCGACGTTGTTCGCTCGCACCGACTTGTTTACGCACAAGGGAGGGGCAGGGCGTGCGGGCGGAGTAGTACGGGGGTTCCGCTAGGAAAATTATAATCAATTAGGGTTCCTTGGCAAAAAAAAATTGGGAAGCCCTGCATTAGACACTCTCTATTTGTACACCACACAAAACGGAGAAATTAAGGAAATACAAAATACAAATTCGAAGCAGTCTTATTGGTTATGCAGACTATGCACAAAACACGCACACAAAGTATGGGCGAGCCACGGCGAAATAGTAACTGAACTGCGTGTTTACACTAATTCGATTTTCGCGCTTTTTATAACTGCATTATATCACTAATAAAGTTGTGTGATGATTGATGACATTCAAACCTAATTTTAGTCCCTTTAGAATTACTAAAAAATAAGAGCAATTGAACTTAGAGCACAGTCTCTCACTAGATATTCTAAGAAGGGAAACACCAGTTTTTAGGAAATTTCAGTAACCACTAAATAATATGAATTAAATGTACAATTAATGACTAAAAGTAAGTTTTGAAAATAATATTAGCTTACAGTATGATTGAAGTTAGTCTTGGCAGTGAACATGGCCGATTTCCGCAGCAACTCCCCACCAATGCACATCACAACTCCTAGGACAGATACCCAGAAGTAGGTCTTCATCTCTGTAAAAATATTAAATTAATCAGCATCAGAATCAAATCAGATTTTTTTCAAATACAATAGAAATTGTTCATGCAGTCACTACTGTTTTAAATCAAAAATATTTACAGTCTAATTTTTTAGAAATCAGCAGAAATGTCATCAAAAATGGCCAACTGACATAAAAATATTTTTAGTCTGTGAACTAGTGATGCGACAAAACCTCTCGTTAATCGCGAAGTGAAATTATTGTAGTACTTGCGTATCATCGCCGGGTGATCGTCAAAATACTAAAAATATGCAACAAAGTCGCAAAATTGAATGTGAACTGATTATGAAATTTTCGAGAACAGGAAACAAACTGTATGCACAGATGTAATCAAAAAACACACTGGACAGTAAAACAATTAATGATATCCGTAAAGTTATTAAACTTCAAATAGTTGCAAAAAGTTCTGTTTGACAGTGTTGCTACTAGTGACATCTCGCTCGCTCAGTTCTTTGTTGCTCTATTCCGCTAGGGAGGTAATAATAATTTAAGATGCTAGCAACTGAAAGAAGATTTTTAATTTCTTTTATTTTATTTAGGAAAATAAGCAATGGAACAATACGTAAGCATAATTGCATAAAAAAGTAAAATAATTTCATTTAAATAAAACCGACTAATAATTAAACTGACTCCGAAAAAGTATACACTAAAAGTAGAAAAATAATTTTACGTTATCTCCAATATTGTCGAAGTTATCGCTGGAAAACTAAACAAAGTATCGTATATTTTTTATTTAAAATTAATCAGTAATCGGAATAAGTGAATACTTAAAATAATATCGATTAAATTTACAGATTATTGTCTATGACTCACAGGTTACAGCACTGATGTGTCAGAGACAAGTCATAGACAATATGGAGATAACACATGATTTTAAACGTCAAGTCAATTTGACAAGTCTCACAAATTTTCATCGTCCGCGTATTTTGCTAAAATAATTTGTTTCAAAGATTGATTTCAAACTTGCATTAACGTGAAAATAAAGTTGGTTTCATGGGCTTGTTAAATAATGTGTATGATATTATGAACACGTAAGTGATTATGGTGTAATTGTGTATGAAAGTGTTTGTTTACATCTCTGCTNTTTAAAAACATTTCTAGCTCTAATTATCTCTTCCTTCCAACGATAATAACTAAATATCACTTGTAGTACCTAATTAGATATTGGATTTCGACAAAAATTCAAAGTTTAGTGATGAAAATGATTGACTTTGACTTTGACTTAGTGATGAAAATGGGAAAATAATACAAAAATTATCCATAGACAGTTTCTTCAAACATCGCCATCTTTTCTGATATAGAATACTGCTTTTTATTGCTCTTTTATGATTTATTTCAAAATCAAATCAAAAATAATAACCGCATAGAAAAAAAAGTATTTTTTGTACGCGGCTTTATTTTTCGGCTGCCGTGATCACAAGCAGACTGGCAGCTGGCGGAATCGTTCGTTCGGGTGGGCTTAAATATTTTAAACTATCCTAATATTGTCATTGTTACACTGTAGTGGCGTTGCTTCGACACACAGTATTCGTATTCGTACTTGACATGTAACTCAAAAAAAAAATTATCATATATTAAAATCCAAAAAAGGTGCATCAGAGCAATTTTCGGGATAGAACCGACGGAAAGTTGCAAGCCATTTTTCCAAAAATTTAAAATACTAACGTTACCATCATTATATATACTAGAGATAGCGATGTTTGTTAGATCTAATCCTGCAATGTTTCAAAATATGTCAGATATTAATAACCGGACACGCCGGGACAATAGATTGGTTGTTCGTAGTTGCAATACTGCGCTTATGCGTAAAAGTGTGTTTTGTATGATACCCGCAATATTCAATAAAATTCCGAAGACATTAAGGGAACTCAATATAAACTTATTTAAGCTAAAACTGAAAAGTCTTCTTGCAGAGAAAAGCTATTATAGTGTTAATGAATTTATGACAGATAAACTTTAAATTTGAAATTAAATGTTTCTAAAACAAACACACACGACACAAACTAAAATAATAATAAGTAATTTTTTATGACATTTTAATTACTATTTTTGAATTTTTAATATTGAATTGACATTGTAATATTACGACGACTAGTGACTTATAGTTTTGACTACTTAATAAGCAATCAAGTGTTTTGTGTCATTAATGCATGTGAATTATTAATTTATTCATTGATTTATTAATCACCTATATTATTGTATGCCAACCAGGCGAAACATAGTGAGACAATCACAATGTAATATTTTTATCTGTAAACACCTATGTTTCACAATAAATAATTTTGAATTTGAATTTGAATTTGAAAAAGTATAAACGCTAGATGTATGTTATATCAGTTTTATAACTGGTATTGGAGTGAAGTTGAAGAAGAATAGAATGAAAATATTCATTCCACGAATGACCAATTGACCCTACCGTTACCTTAAAGCAAGCATTTAACCGATTACAAAAATTGAGCATGTCATACACTGTCGCAGGTGGGCAGCGTATGTTTTATTCAGCCGATCGATACAATAACCGATTGATTTGGTTGGAACACGACCACTAACATGTACATTATGGGTAACGCAATGGGGCAGTGGGGGTGGTTATATGGGACCGAAAAACGTACGAGAACGCTGCGTTTTGGTTAGCTAGATTTCATAGCAATGTAGATTTTAGCTATATTGACATTTTTGTTTGACCTTTCAAACTAAGTTGTCTCTAAACTGAATTCAGACTAAAGGTCCATATAAGATTTTAAACTTTCGCGTTCCATTTCAATTAAAATAGTAAGACACGGGTCTTAATGCGACGTTTATTAACGAGTTATGTACTGACGGCTTGACGTTTCGGTTGCGATGCTGTAGCCGTGGTCACAAGCAGACGCGGTGTCGTCCGTTCGGGCGGGCTTGAAGATTGAACGTACCTACATAATGTAACTCATTAATAAACGTCGCGTTAAGTCCCGTGTCTTACTATTTTAAAGGTCCATATGACCACGGACCGAAACGCATCGAAACTACCGAACTTGGGGTAAAAGTCCTGGTAAAGGTCCCAAAGAGCAGGACCGTCTTTATGGAAAACCTTTGTCCAGCAGGTGAGACGAGGTTGAAACGAGTTCATGATAGATGTAAACAAATATCACCCAACAGAAGAATCGACACGTTATCCACATATTTACTGCCCTTCAAGAAGGTCTTTGACTTGGAATAAAGTCGTAGAGGTCTTTGTAAGAGACCTTTATCAAATATTTCGTGCGCAAATAACAATATAATTTTATCTGTAGAAAGGAGCACAGTGCCCGTAGCTTTCGTCGAGCAACCTACGCCGAGGTCGCGAGGGTGACATATTTAGAACGTTATATTTAAATAACCTTTGATTGAAACTAGAGCAGTTGTTCTCATAAAACCTTTCCGTGTGTTTACAAACGAAAGAAAAGTTTAAGCTGAGTTGATCAGTTTAATATTGGAACTGTATCTATATGTCCATTTAATTTTTTCGTAATCGCATAAGGATAGGATGGAATGAGAGTTTTTTTTAGGTTGGTAGATCGGACTAAAAAATTACCCACGAAAAGACGCAGGCAAAACCTTGTTTTATATTCTTTAACTTTATAAACTACTTCCACGTCTACCTACCTAATATATTCCTTATTCAGTAATTAAGCCTTGAACTACGATATTCCACCAAAAGTACCTATGTAATTTTGTATTCAAGAGAAAAGGAAAATGTTCGCTTTGTATTTTCTGCTGGCATCAGTTTTAAATTTCAATTAAACTGCAGTAAAACCTGCATTGAATGCAAGCCTTCGTTGATTTATCCGACAGTTTTCTCCACTTCTTTATAGGTATATTTTAATGGTTTTAAAATGAAAATTAATACTTGATCCCTAACCTAAAGTTGAATGTTATAATGAAAGTTATGTTTACTTAGTTTTAATGATAACATTTGTGTTTTAATGAGTGGAAATGTAATATTTTATGTTAGTGATGCCCAAAGTGTACGTTGACCTGTATTCGACCTACAAAGGGTCACAATTTACTAGTTAAAAGAAGACACATGGGATAAACAGCTTTTCAAACTTTTATTAAACATATTTGATCAACTGAATTTAAATTTTAAGTTTGTTTTAAATCGTGGACTCGCTATCTTATAGTGATTATGATAGGCCATGTTGATAATGTTATTTGGTATGCACTATTGTATACACTGATCACTTTTTTAAGTAGACTGTAGGTACATTAACTATTTCCCAAAAGCTTCAGCTTGATATTTACACAAAAAATCGACAAAAACTGCAGTCGAAGCTAAAGTTTGAAAACGCAAAAACAAAAATATCGACTGCATGACAAACACCGGCCATTTTATATGCGTATACAAACAATGGACACATGCGCTATTTGCATGTTCGCAAATGAATGGTCGTTTGGTGTACATAACTACACTTACCTTTTGTCTACCGTAAACGCAATGGCAGCTAACAATACAGTTATTGAGCCTATTTTGACCAGTAATTTGAGTATGGTTGGATAGAACGTAGATAGTTTGTGTAGTAATATCGGACTTAATATTAAAACATTATGTTACTAATTTGTAAAATCACAAATTGCGTATTGTAATAATTAAGGTACACTTATCAACCTGGAAAGGGATCCACACCGTGTCGCCTTTCGACGCGAAACGATATGGATAAGTAGAAAGTACCTAAGTAAAGCGGTGCGGATAAGTGCATTGCAGTACGGATTTTCATACACTAATGCCCGTTTTCACCATCAATCCCTAATTTTTAAGTGACCCCTTTGAAAACAAAATTCCTGTAATTTATTACCATAGGGGTCACTTAAAAATTAGGGATTGATGGTGAAAACGGGCATAAGAATACTGACCGCCTCGAGTTGATACGGTTACGATCCGTTTCCAGGTTAATAAATGTACTTCGTCCTTTATGTTACCAACTTCCCAAGTAACATGTTCTAATTGTGTATGAACTTTCAAACTATTTGGAAAATCACAAATTGCTTACCTATTATAAAAATTATAGTGTCAGATTGAATAACATTACGTAGGCGTCTGACTCGACTCAATGTCAATAGAACCGAAGAATTATTGTGCCCTTCGTTAGCACGTAATTATATTTCTGAGATTTTCAATTTGTATTTCATCTAGGAATAGAACTCAAGATCTCCCACTGATTCTAAACTATTTTTAACTTTATAGTTATACTACTTAAACACAATATTAAACTAGATATAATAATGGCTTAAATCCCGAAATCGATTGACTTTACCGAACTAAACTTACGTAATGCTGACAGAGAACATGTTTTACATGATTTTGTTATGGAATACCAATCCTACGCTATTGTGACTGAGCGAACAATACGCGGTAGTGTGTGAGGATAGGGCTGGCAAAAATTACTTTTTAATATCTAATAATTACTATTTATTTATTCATCATCATCATCATTTCAGCCACAGGACGTCCACTGCTGAACATAGGCCTCCCCCAATGATTTCCACATCACACGGTTGGTAGCGGCCTGCATCCAGCGCCTTCCTGCTACCTTCATCAGGTCGTTGGTTCACCCAGGACGTCCAACGCTGCGTTTGCTGGTACGTGGCCTCCACTCCAGAACCTTGCTGCCTCATCGGCCATAAGTTCTGCCCTAATGACGTGTCCTGCCCATTGCCACTTCAGCATGCTAATCGTCGGGCTATGTCAGCTACTATTTATTAAAATAACTAAATACCAACAGACCAACACACCTAAACTTAAAATAAGTTCAATAACTGTATTGCGGGCCTATGTATTGCGGGTATATGGGCCTCATAAGAAGGCTCAAGGTCACCCAAAGGGCGATGGAGCGGGCTATGCTCGGAGTTTCCCTGCGTGATCGAATCAGAAATGAGGAGATCCGCAGGAGAACCAAAGTAACCGACATAGCTCGCAGAATTGCTAAAATCAAGTGGCAGTGGGCGGGGCACATAGCTCGTAGAGACGATGGCCGTTGGGGCAGGAAAGTTCTCGAGTGGCGACCACGGGCTGGAAGACGTAGCGTGGGCAGGCCTCCTACTAGGTGGACCGACGATCTGGTAAAGGTCGCGGGAAGAGCCTGGATGCGGGCAGCGCAGGACCGTTCATTGTGGAAAACCTTGGGGGAGGCCTTTGTCCAGCAGTGGACGTCATTTGGCTGAAAAGAAAGAAGAAGAAACTGTATTGCGATCAATCAATGTTTAATTGAACAGAGTGAAAGAAGACTGCATCACAAACTCAATAACGTATTGTAGCGCAGAAATACGAGCCAAAGCAAATATGATTGACGTACAAACAAAAGGCGAGAGACAACCTTACCCCGTCGGGGATGAAAAAAGAAAAGTTGTGTGAGCGTAAAATTAGTTTTTTCCGCTTTGAATGGCTGTACCGCATGGACTGCCTTCCGTTGGGTAGATACGCGTTCATCCTATGAAGAATACTGCCAACGAATATTAGCGAGTTTGTGGATGAGAAACTTTTGGTATTTTTTGTACGGAAGTGTACCAAACACTTTGCAAGTTGTTTGTTTGCAACTGAAAAATCTTGAGAAATCTTTGGAGTAACTGAATAGGAAACTAAACAGATGAAAATTGTCCATGATCGGGCTCAAAAGTGTGCATTTTCACAACTTTCTTTCTTCAGACTTTAATGTTAACCAACGGTTTTCGACACAAACCTATCTCGCGAGGGACTCGCGGCAATCGCAACTGACTAATAAGTTGTTCATACTTGTAAATTAGATGTTAAGTCTACAAAAACGGTATGTAGGTATTGGTTTTGTTTAAGCTACAACGCCAAATAAGTAGTGTCTCTTCGTACACTTTTTCAAAACTTATTATGTTTTATTTTTTGGATACACTTACAGATTTATTTCAATTCATAAGCCAAGACCCTGCCATAGCATCATATACCTATTTATTAAGTGCTATTTTAATATAAAAATTGTACAAGTCTAACATGCTGACGCTTCTTCTTCATGACGTGAAATACAGTGTATAAATAATCGCAAAGAATCTAAAGCTATAAATAGCGGGGGTGATTTGTGAGCGTATGGTTATAGTCTGTGCCAGTAAACAATGTGACATTCTATATCGATTTGAAACCGTCCGTGAGTTACGTAAATCTATGCAATCGCAGACAGCGGTGACCGAGTTTGTTTCGGCGCTTCTTTTCAGCACTGGCTTATTTCATTAGTTTGTCTTGTATTTAACATTTTAAAGCCCCAAAAGAGCAACACTGTTAAACTTAGGCTGGGTTGGCTGGCATTTTAACAAACGTCAGAATTTGTTAAACTCCATACAAAAAATACCGGATATCATTATAGTCATGGTTTTTAGATGGTGCAACTCAGCCTTAAATATGTAGGAATTTATTACTAACAAGTAGTTTACCTGAATATAAGTTTGTATTTAATTTAACGTTGTTTTCAGTGGTTTCAGTGTTGGGATAACTTAATGATCTTAATTCATTTAACTCTTCAACAAAAGCTTCAAAGAAAATAATGCTACTTGTTTTACAAAATCTCACTAGATTTGTCTTGACAGCAAAAACATTGTTCCGAAATTAACTTACTATTGATTTTTTTGTGATATAGCTCTTTTCAAGCAATCTCGAGCCTAGCTTGTAGCACAAAAAGATTAGACAGCACAATTGTTATTGATATTTAACACACACAACTGAAATATCATTATGAATGGTTACACATATGAAACGACTCCATTTCTCACCCACAAGGGTTCTCCGTTGATCCGAGATGCAGGTAATGATCAGGTCTAAAGTAGAAGCGAGCTTCTTTCTCCCGGAATCTTCAACCATAGAGGAACTGGCCGTCTTACCTCAAACTGTCAAAACGCAACTATCTAGAGAAGTAAAATTCATATGCTTGAGGTTGGGTATCGTTAATAGGCTTTATGACGCACTTTACTAAGCTTAGACAATAAACGTGGTAGTAGCGCTAACGATTACTAAGGGAAGGTATTAACCGGCTGGAAACAACAGCTTAGCGTAATGCCTGAAATAAATTTAAATGGTCATCGTCCGATACTTAAGTAGGCACTAAACAGGAAGGTTAGGTACGGTCACTAGCCGATCAACGCACGTAATGGACTATTCTCCCAATGAATTTTAAACTAATGTCTTTGACATAACGTTTAAAGTCGATTGAAGAAAAGATATTTAACTTTAGTAGATTTACGTGTTGAAACTGTAGGTACAAATAATTTGACAGCGTTGTGTACAAGAAAATGGAAATGCTTTAGCTGTTTCCACACGCTGGCCATAACATTGGTCCCTATCTAACGTGTGGATTTACAAAATAGTATTGGCATCAGCTTTAGGATTTTCTAGATCCACACGTTGGACGACTATTGACGACAAATGTTGGGGCCAATGTTTGGATCCAGTCTAATACAGTTTAAACCAACTACTTTTAAAATAAAAACTACAGTGAAACATAGAATCTCTTCCTTTTTCAAAGTCGATTAAAACGTGTTACGAGTAGTAGCTCTATTCCTTTGGCTACGTTCTAGCTCTGTTCGCGAGTACGAGCGTTGTAAGCGGCTATCAGTTAATTGAATTTCATTGTTACAGTGGGTACAGTCTTCGCCAACATACACAAATGTTCACAAGTCTAAAGCCGTAAGGTTTACAAAGGCGTATAGGACAGTATGGCTAACTATTTTATGATTAGGTACCAAAATTACTCGATCTAGGTACGTTACGATAAGAGAAGGCAGTCTAGTGGGCGGCATGCCGGACTAGAAAAGCTTCAGTTGTGGAATCAAATCCCGCTAGCATCAAATATATGTCAATTTTAAGTCGTCTAAGTAGCCCGACGGATTAGCAAGCTGAAGTGGCAATGGGCAGGGCACATAGTATGCAGAACTGACGGCCGATGGGGCAGCAAGGTTCTGGAGTGGAGGCCACATACTGGAAAACGCAGCGTGGGACGTCAACCCACAAGGTGGACCGTCGACCTGATGAAGTCATTGGGGGAGGCCTATGTTCAGCAGTGGACGTCCTGTGGCTGAAATGATGATGATGATGATGAAGTCGTCTGTTAAAGTTACGCGATTATTTATTTGCACAGTTCGTGATTGTGACAGACAATTAGAATGTCAGACAATTCACGACAACACAATGAAGATTTCAGAGTCGGAAAGTCCTTGTAAGTTCGCGATATTGGCTGTTTATGAAACGCTTAGGAATATAAACGCCTACTCTATCTATAATATTATTGATTCAAGTTTAACAGTTTCTACTTTAAACGAAAGTGGGTTAAACAAATAAAATTAAATGATTATGAATTCACTGAGATGTTAGGATTTAGGATGCAAAATTAGTTTCTATTTTAGCGTTTTCTTTCTCTATGGCTCTTTTCCTTACTTCACCCACACACACGTTCTTATACGACCTACCATTACGCTACGCTACCAATAATTATCAAATAACTCATAAAACTCATTTATTTTTGCTTTTAAAAGCGCTTTTACACGTCCCTGTATTAACCCTACCACTGCTTCGGGACAATAAATGGGCCAGTGCTGAGAATAAGCAGCGCTAGAAACTCAGTAAAAAAATATTTAAAAAACGCTTATCTTCTTACAAAATACCCAATATTTACTAGCGTATCCTTACAGCTGTTCATGCGAAATCCTTTTTTGCACCACCAAAAATCGAGTCAAAGTCGACCTTAGACACTATAAAAAAGGCAAACCACCCATTTCCATAAACATTGAAACAAAATGTCACCGAGTCTGCCGTCCTTACGCTTCCACCTTTTTCTTCATTACCCAGTTCGTTATGACATTGCGGGCTACGTATAATTTAACTTCGCCAACTTCGCCGTACGAACGTTGAACTTCGAACTTCGCTCCCGATCTACATTGTATCGTGAATGTACAAGTTTAGAACTGCCTAAGGAAGCTGGCACGTTTATGATAAGGTACGTTTCATTCTTAAAAAGTTTCGTTTCGTTAATTTTAACAACAAAATACATATATAGGGTGTCCCAAAAAGTAGTGTCAAGCCGAAGCCCAGAGGTAGAGCATCACTAGGGCTATCCGAATCATCCCCATGTATGTTCCGTGATTTTTGATAGTTTTCGAGTTATGATTGTTTTAAACTGTGCTTAGACACTTTTTTGGTCACTGTGGCGCGAATAGATAAGGTACATGCCTGATTTTTTTTATTACTATTAGATAAATACTAGGGCTAACTGATTCAGAAGTATTTACGTCCATAACACGAATGTAAACCAAAAAAGTTAAAAATCCTATGTGGTAAAAAAAAATAACTCGAAAACTATCAAAAGTCGCGGTGATTCCGGGTGGGGAGTCGGGTGGTATCCCTAGAGCTTCTTTTTTCTGGGTTTCGACTTATAACACTACTTTTTGGAACACCCTGTATATTACATAAACAGCGCGTATTACAATGACGCAAGATGGCAGTGTTCATCTTAATGTACCTTCATTCATTCATAATAACTTCTGAAAGACAAGTTGACTTCTGAAATGAATACTGTCTTGAAGATTTTGCGAACTTCATACACAAAGTCAAACGAACTTGAAACGTGATACCTACCTACTTTGCACAGTTTCAGTGCTGATACTGTAACATGATCTTGTGGTTGTGAGATTTTGTACGTTTTTTGGAGACTTCATTGTTCTGAATAAAAAAATGGCACACAACTTGTTTGTAGGCCTATAAATTGATACCTTCTTATACCTAAATAAGTAGGCATCAAGCCTTTTTGAAATCATTTAGATTACAATAAATCCTATAAAACAAAACAACAAACTAAAAAGAATAACGGAAAATAAAATAGGAGTGTTTGTTTTTGAACTTAAGGTACTACTTCGAAAATCAATTTATAAATGGAAAGTTAAATATTAGCTTCAATTTTCTTACATAATATGGCAATTCTAATCTGCAAATAACTTCGTCGAAAGCTTTCACGCGAGTGTACTAACTTTTCAATACGTTCTTGAAATAAGTCGTTATGCCCTCGTTACCGTATGAATTGCTTTCATATTTGTTCTCCGATCAATCCCTGCTTCAGGAATTTGGGGCAATAGAAATATTATGGGAGTTGCTTGTTGTGATGGACCTTCTTCGGAAAACGTGTAGGCTTGAGTACCTAACCGGTATTTATTTAACCAGGGATCAATTTTTTCGAATCTCCAGCCAGGTGACTTTTATTTAAAGAACAATATAAATATTTAGAGGGATTGGGAACACACAGAATTATGTTATGCATATTACATTAAAAATAATGTCGGATATATCAAGGAACATAGACATAGGAACATAGGTGTCCCAATAAAGTGTCAAATGTAGAGCTCTAAGA